ACCGATGCTGATCCCGCAGGCGACAGAGGGGGAAGGGAGGGCAGGGGGGGAGGGGGCACCGGCCCCTGCACGTGTTCTTGCCGGGGCAGGGGTCCCAGCAACCATCCCCCTCCCCAGGCTGGTGGGGGGCACAGTGCACAGCCCGGTGCACAGCCCTGTTTTGGGGTAGAAGGGAATATTAAAGCAGGTCTCCTCCCACACCCCGATGCACGTTTGTGGGGTCTGGCTGGGGCAGCTGGTGTGTGGCATTGGGGTCAGGAAGCCTTACTGGGAGGTTCTTGAGAGGGTAGGCTTAGTGAATTGTTGGGCAGATCTTTTTGTCCCCCATTCAATGGGATGGTTAATTGGGGCAGAGGAAGGTCACCTTACCTGCAACATTCCACCTGTTTCACCCTCTGTGCCCCTGGGGCAAGGTCACTGCCCCGAGCCTGAAACAGGGCAGTTCCGTGCTGTCTCTGTTAAACGGGAAGGGCACGTCAGCCTGTTGTGACCCCCTGCTCCCCCCCAGCCATTTGTGGGACATCACTGACAAACTCTGGGGCAACACAGGAGCCCTTTAGCTGTAACCAGCATGTTGCTCTGTGTTTACTAGTCCAACCTCCACCTTCCTGGTACAGGACATCCCTCCCCACAACCCTTGACCCCGTAGTCTGCTTACACATGCAGCACACCTCCCTCACCTGGATTCCCTCACGAATCTCTGCAGAACGTGGCTCCAGAGGGGAGCTGCTCTGGTCAAGGGCCGTGTCTTTCCTCCTCTGTGACCCCAGGCATGGGGCAGGGCAGCACAGCAAAGGGGTGGTGGGACAGCTCGGCATCCTCAGGCAGCACTTTGCAGCTGGTTCCAAATGTGGGTGCCCTTGCACCGCATATATTGGCTTGTGAGACCTAGTTATTTAAAACATGCATATTTGAGGAGCGCAAATTTACATCTGTGCGCATCTGTGCATGCAAACACACCCAGGCTCTGTGCAAGGTGGAGGAACAGCTCCTCCTCGCAGCCAGCGAGCTCCCCCTGACCTCGTGTGTCCTCCCCGCAGCCTGCCCCGCC